AACCTATTGCAATAAAACGGCAATTTCATACTTTAACCCCTAATATCGTCTATCTATACAACAGATTCCGTTTGTTTTATAATTAGATGTTTTGCATGTTTTTCCCACATCACCGAATGGAACAGCCCCCATTGTTAGAGATATTATCTTTATTACAATAAATACAGAAAATTTTTGGAATATACGGAGACGTACGCACAGGTCAGTTGTTGGCGCTGTACTATTTCAGCTTTCTAATTTGTGATTTCAGCGCAAACGAAACTGGATATATAAAAGTGATATAAAGCCCATTTGCCTGATGTGTTGCCAGGAATGGAAGGCCTTTTTTTTGGTTCTATTTCTAGTTGTATACTCGATGGGCCTAAATTTATTTCTCTCGTGAGTTTGGATGTAATTTGTTTATGTGTATGTCCATGGCATTGCCACACACGATTTCCCTAGTGCAGGGCCAAAAACAAATCAAGGAAGTTTGCTGTAAAGCAGGGTTTCTTAACCTGTGGTCCGTAGACCCCTAAAGCCGGAAGTACATGGCGAGCCTACCTAACATAACAAATGGATTGGTATACAATATGTTCTGGTTAAATAGGTACTGTGCGCGTGACCTTTTTGAATTTCCGCACCCAAGCGTCTCGCTCATTCGTCCTTCGGATGTGTGTCCGATGTTTGTATGATAATCATAAGTTATAACCGTGTTTTTGCCTTTTCCAGTAAGTATTTGCAGAACGATCCTGCGAAGCCTTCGCAGCTTAGCTTCGACAGATGTCGGTTCAACGAATCGAGCTGTTACACGTCCGAGCACAGCGAGCAGTTTATTGTGAGTAATTATTATTTACAACATATAAATAGACATAAATTGTTTACATCGAGTATATAACCAGAAATAGAGACGAAATGACATTTAATTTGTTTGAAAACCATTCAGCCATATCATTACTGTGACAACTGCGCTCCGATTGGCTAGCCCGAGTTCGAAACAATTGACGGGTGTCGTCAACTGTTTCTGCTATAATGGACGAAAATTGCAAAATTACATATTTAATATTTAATTACCGATGAGATGTTTTGCTGTTTTTCCTACACCACCGAATAGAACAGCACGGCTTTGTTAGTGATATTATGTTTATTACAATAAATACAGAATATTTTTTGGAATATACGGAGACGTACGCATAGGTCAGCAGTTGGCCTGTCTATACCTCAGTGCAAACGATAGTTGAGGTTTATAAGCGCTGTATCGCTAATGTGTTACCAGGAATATATGGCCCTTATTTCGTCTCTATTTCTGGTCATATATTCGATGATTGATTATGAACTTAAGGTTAATTGGTTTTATTTTTAATCGACTTCAAAACTTTTTGTATGTAGGTATGTTACGCGATAACTCCGGCTAAATTTGTAAATCGATTTTGAAGATTCTTTTTTTGTTGGAAAGAGGGTACCTCAATATTGGTCCTATTTAAATTTGAAAAAAATATTCCACCTGTAATAAGGGTGGTTGTTCACGCAGAAAACTTGTTTTTATAATTAGCGCCTACATTTTATAAGGAGCAGTTATTTTAAAGGTTGATTTTGCTATGGTCCTTTACTTTTGTGGTAATTAAAATATGTTTTTATACGGCATTAAGTCCCGAACTAAAAATCAAATAATGTGTGAAAATCGTGAAAGTTTAGCAAAGTATGGTCATATTCATTATTTTAATTCCTTATTTGGGTCCCATTGAGTACATAACTAGAAATAGAGACGAAATAAGGGCCATCCATCCCTGGCAACTCGTCAGCCAAATGGGCCTTATATTACTTTTAAATATCAACTCTCGTTTGCGCTGAAATCACAAATTAGAAAGCTGAAATAGTACAGCGCCAACAACCTGTGTGTACGTCTCCGTATATTCCAAAAATATTCTGTATTTATTGTAATAAAGATAATATTTCTAACAATGGGGGTTGTTCCATTCGATACTGTGGTAAAAACAGTAAAATATCTAATTACAAAACAAAAATAATCACATTTCATCGGTAATTCAATATGAAATATGTAATTTTTTCAATTTTCTCCCATTATAGCAAAGCCCAGGCTAAACTGGTCAATTTGAAGTAAAACAATTGACAACACCCGTCAATTGTTTCGAATTCGGGCTGGCCAACCAGCGCGCAGTTGTCACCGTAATGATTTGGCATAATGGTTTTCAAATAAATTAAATGACATTTCGTCTCTATTTCTGGTTATATACTCGATGTTGGGTGCATATGTAGACGATCATATTTGTCAGTATCTGCAGGTTTGTCTGCACGTCAAATGTTTTCTCAAGTGCCATCATAACATAGATACAAATAATCTCAGTACAAAGTACTACAAAAACCAACCTCAAAAGTACGTGGAATTACATCTATTTGCCAAGTTTTATTGAAATATCCTTAAATTCGCCACTAGACAGTACTTGACACTGGAGATAATAAAAATCGGTTCTCACTACTCAAAGAATATTGAGAGAAAAACGCCTTGAATTGGAGAAATAGCAAATCAACCATTAAAATAATTGCTTGTTAAGAAAATTTAGGCGCTATTTATGAAAATGATTTTTCATGCGTGAACAGCCACTCTTGGAGGTGGATGATTTCCTTCAAAATGAAATGGGACCACTATGGAAGTACCTCCTTTCCAACAAAAAAAGAATTATGAAAATCGGTTCACAAATACCAGAGTTATCGCGTAACACACATGCAAAAAAAACATTCCAGCGAATTGAGAACGTCTTCCTTTTTTGAAATTTAAAATTATTTCAAATTCTTTTAAGGAGGACCTGGGGGCTGGTTCTAGTTCTCCTTTCGAACTATCAAATAAATATTACTCGACCAAGTAAAAAAATAATATCAAGTATGAAGCTTCATTCGCATCATGCATTTTTAATTTTGGTCGAGTATTATTTATTTGACAGTTATTGTTTCGACCGGATGTCGGACGAAAATGGAATGAAATGAAATGGGGTTCATTTGCATTGAATAGGTTGTTACAGGATGGTAGTTATTACATGTGAGTTCATCTATTCAGCCATTACACAAAAGCATGCAAAATGTAATCTTCTAAGTTAGGGGTTCCCAAACTTATTTTGTCTACTGCCCACTTTGAGAATAAATTACTTTTTAGCGCCCCCATTTTTTCACTTACTTAAAAACCACTATAACTTCAAATTAAATTAATTATTGCGAGCTATATTAGCGGAGATTAAACATTCATTCTAAACGAGAGTTTTACTTTAACCCGCAAGAGTTAACTTGAGACCTGAGTTAACCTGAGCGCAGTAGGTAGTACACAACGGCGCTCAGGTCTCAAGTTAACTCTTACGGGCTGCACCTGCCAATGAGAATGATTATTGAAACGCAACTTTATAGTATTCAGACAGAGTATCTTTTATTCAAAACAAAACAAACATAATCGATTCTAATATTAAAACTAATGTGAAGGATGAATTTGATGCTGTTTAATAAGTTTGTTGATATCAGGTTCCAATTTACTCAAGAACAGCCGCAAGTCACCACGTTCGGTAACATGCAAACGATTTCTCTTTTTAGTAAGCAGCGTTGTCAGAGCACTAAAACCACGTTCACAGAAATATGACGATGGGAATGCTATCAAGAATCGTTAAACGATTTACCACAATCCAGGGTACAATTGCGGGATCGGTGTTTGTAGCCAAAATTCTTGGTAGCCATTTTAGAACTTGATTTTTATTTCCTCGTTTCAAGTCTGCTCAAATCCTGAGTGAGAATCTGAGTATGATTTCAAGCACTGGAAATACGACCCTAATGGCAGGGACTTGAGTATAATTTCGAGTGCTTTAAACCATACTCATATCCTGACTTGAGCATTGAGTAGAGTTCTAGAATACGACCCTAAGAGACTTCCTAGATGAAATTACAAATCTCCCCCCAAGCCTCTACACAACGCCCCCATTTTTTTTCTGAGTCTCTTATCGCCCCCCTGTGGGCGCTGCAGACCTAAAGGGAAGTGTTATCGCCCACTTTGGGAAAGGCTGTTCTAAGTAGCCATTTACACTGTAATATCCCTTTTTAACTAGGTATTTAAATCAGTTGTCATTCTTTTAAATGTCAGATTTTTTACTTCTATTTACCAATAGATATAAATTTTCATGCACATGTAATATGAACCTTTTAAGTTAAGTGTAAATTTACTCTGTCTGTCCCGGAGAACGAGAATACAGGCCTGTTTAGTAAATATAAAATTAAATATGTTTTACAATGGAGAGCCATAATCCATTATCTTGTTTTGTTAATTTCAGATCGCTGTATACAACCACTTAGCTTGGGAAGTGACTGAGGCCATAAGGATTCCTGTTATGGAAGGAAATTATGAAGTTTACGCTCCGAATGGTAAGTATTAAGTACATCGAGTATGTAACCAGAAATATAGACGAAGTAAGGGTCATACATTCCTGGTAACACTGAAATTACAAATTAGAAACCTGAAATAGTACACCGCTAACCGTGTCCGTATATTCCAAAAATATTCTGTATTTATTGTAATAAAGATAATATATTTCAATGGCGTGCTGTTCCATTCGGTGGTGTGGGAAAAACAGCAAAACATTTAATTACGAAACAAACGGAATCAAATTTCATAGGCAATTAAATATTAAATATGTAATTTTGCAATATTCGACCAATATAGCAAAGCTCAAGTTAAATGGTCGATTTGAAGTGAAACAGTTGACGACACCCGTGAATTGTTTCGAACTCGGGCAGCCAATCGCAGCGCAGTTGTCACAGTAATGATATGGCAGAATAGTTTTCAAACATATTAATTGACATTTCGTCTCTATTTCTGTTTATATACTCGATGATTAAGTATTACACGGGTGTAATACTTCGTGAG